AAATGGATTAAGCACAAAAAGCAAAAAGCCCTCAGTCCTTCCAGAAATTTTATTATATTTTCATACTTGATTTCAAGAAACAGTTCCCACTCTGACATCTGCTGGCTAGTGTACATTCTGCAGTTCCAAATTCCACTGTACAAGAAACAACTCTCAGTAACTTTTTTTTTGTAAAAAAAAATAATAAATTTGAAATAAAACAGTCTTTCTTCCTCTGCATTTTGGACATCACTGAGGGGACAATGAACAGTTGTTAATCACATGCTACTTGTAAACATTCAGTATTATAGATATGCATATGTGGTGCTAGTTGCCTACTTCAGTACAAGTTCACAAAAACAGAAATCACACTTAAGAAAAGTTGAATAAAATTGTTACTGAGACATCAAAACATTATAAAATCATTTATTTTTATCTTTTAAAAACAGCATCTGATGAAATATTTTCAGAGTTGGAAAACATATTCTTAACAATTTGTTTCCTTCAGAAATGAAACAGCTGGGGCTGGGAGTGTAGCTCCTCAGTGGTAAAGCCCTTGCCTAGAGTACTCCAGGATCACAAAACAAAAACAACAGTAAAAACATTTGATTTTAGGAGCTGGGGTTGTGGCTCAGTGGTAGAGCGCTTACCTAGTATGTGTGAGGTACTTGGTTCGATTCTCAGCATCACATATAAATAAATAAAGGTCCATCAACAACTAATAAAATATTTTTTAAAAACAGCTGATTTTAGTCCAATGATCATTCTAGTAAGGCTAAAGATTGACTTTAAACATGTATAATAGTTTTCATCTTTTTCTCAGTCATATTAGTAATATTTCCATTTTCCACTTTATACAGGCCAAAAATGGGGGAGGGAGGAGTAATTACATAAGCAGATACACAGACAAAGATTCTGCTGCACTTGAAACTGAATGTTCCACTGGTAAGCTACCTCACCATGCAGGCAATGGAAATGTTCATTCATCAGCTTACATATGAAAGTGTGAATTTAGTAAACAGTGATTTAGGGACATCAATAAATGTAAAAATTGTAGGTTGTTGGAAAGTGGAGGTCTGTCTGTAGGGAAAGAACACTACAATTAGGAGTTCAGATTCCTAGGTTATCAGCTTCTATTATATGACTGTATGAGTCAGATTTTTCAGTTGCAAGCATTAAAATCCAATTTTGGCAGCTTTAAGGGAAAAAAATTAAAAGGATTATAGAGTTAAGCATCACAAGGAAGCCTGGAGAATAAGGCCACTAGAATATCACCCTTTGCCATTTGATCACAGACCTGGTGTGGTCAGCACACCATCCCTACTGAGCATTAGGTGCCACCACTTACTTTGCCAAGGGTACGGGCACAGATTCCTGAACCAGCAAGTGTCACTCTAAAGAACTTGCTGCACTTGTCATGGTCACCAGAGAATTATTTCAGAGACTTTGTTGTGTCTCTGGATCTCAGTTCAATCTGGGGAATATTTAACTTGTAGCATTGGAATCACATGGAAAAACAAAGAGAAAACAGAATATCTGGAATTTCCACTTCCATAGTGAAAAGCATGCCCTGCTCATAAGTGGGGAACTCCCAACTGTAGGAAGGAAGTTCAGATCCCTGAAGGGCAGCCAAAAAGGATGACAGATACCCACTATGTTGACCCTGGATAAATCACTGCCTGAGTCTAATCTTTCTAAAAGTTCACATGGCTGAGGAGATACCTATGTTCCTTTCTTCATTTGACAGTGTACACCAATTACCTGCCAGAATACAAAGAAAAACAGATCTACTCTAGTTTAATGAAGGAGAAAAATCAACAGGAAGCAAGATGGAGGCATGCACAGGACAGATGAGGGCAGAAAGAAGGGAGGAGTCAACTGTAGCTTGCAAATTATGTTCTTACATTTAAATACTTATATTTAAAAAATCAAATCTCTCATACAGCGCTGGGCATAGTGGTGCATGCCTGTAATCCCAGTTACTTAGGAGACTGAGGAAGGAGGATCACAAGTTCAAGGCCAGCCTTAGCAATTTAGCAAGGCTCTAAGCAATTTACTGAAACCCTGTCTCAAAAAAGACTAGGGATGTAGCTCCATGGTAGACTGTCATGGCTTCCATCTCCAGTCCAACAACAACAACAAAAATTCCTATGTGGCATTTAATACTTGCAACACTAATGGAGAAGCCAGACAGCATGCCCTAGTAGAAAGCTGCTATTATGCTCCTTTGAAATTATTAGTTATTTTATAGTTTATTTCACTGATGTATATTAATTATACACAACAGTGGGGTGTGCATCATGAAAGTAGAAGGGAGGTTGTTAGGAGCTTGGCTATTTTATAAAGATGTCAAAGCAATGTTGACTGGCACACCAGCAACTCATGATTTTAATTCCTTATTGACAATCTTGTGTAGATTATCAATTTCATATAATTGGACACTTCAAAGGATTAAATGTGATGTTTTGCCAATCATCAATAATAAGATAAATCATCAAGTTTATTGTAGTATGAGTTTCTGATCTGAACTGAACTAAGTGTAGTCTCTCTATCAGGCTGCTTTATGTACAGCTTCATCTTTACTTTTAAAAATCATCGCCTTCAGGTATAGTGTTTTGTTTTTCCATTTATAAAAGAGCAGTGAGGGGCTGAAGTGTAGCTCAGTGTTAAAGCACTTGCCTAGCACACATAAGGAAGACCCTGGGTCCGACTGCCAGCATCACTAAACAAAACAAAAACCAGCTACATTTTAGGTAACTTAGGCCTCTTTCAAAGTCCTACCAAATTCATCATATAGTAGTAGTAGCTGGAATACAATTTAAAAGAATACATAATAATATAGAATCAGGGACTGACAGGTCAGTGGGCCCACAGGGTCAGCTGTTTTAAACTTTAATCTGGTATAACAGTTTCTTAATATTCTTGGTAGGTTAGGTTTCTGTAACTGATATTTTCTAAAATCTAGAGGTCTGAGTCCAGTTGCTTCTTTAATCACCATTTGATGATACATAGGCATCTTAAATTTAACAGTCCAAATTTGAGTTCTTGATCTTCCCCCACCTCCAAATCCACTCCTTACAATAGTTCCTATTTCAATAAATAGCACCTCTGTGGGTGCAGTTACTAGATTTAACTAGAAGACTGGGAATCCCTCTAGTTTTCCACATCAAGCCAAGTTTGACTACCTCAAATAATGTATCCCCAACCCATTTCTCTGCACCCCCATTACCATTACTCCAGTCCAAGTCTTAGTAACCAATTTCCCTTCCACTCTAAAATTATTGTCTTTTCTCCACATAATGCTGCCATACTATTTTAAAAAGTATCAGATCACCCACATCCTCCACCCTTTCAGTGGATTCCTTTTACATAGAATTTTAAAGTTTTTATCAGAGCCTACTAAGGACTGCATGATCTGGTCAATATCTGCCTCTCTGACCTCACTCACACTCTTGTCCCCATAACTCAAAAAACTTAAGACAAACTGGACATTTACATTTCCCAAAGGAGAAATCTTTTCTCCATCTACCCTGGCTGAAGAGCTTTCACCCAGGTCTTCCTTGCCTGTCTTTAAATTTGGCTAACTTCACCTTCATCTGAGAGGTCTTCCACAACCACCCTTGATTCTGTTACCAACAGCCTATCTCAGAGACCCTGCCTGGTCCGGCTGACTGGATTCAGCGGCCTGCCTACTTAAGCGACAGACAAAAGATGGAAAAATGAATAGTGAACTTTATGCAGTTTGATCAAACTGGGGGGCAGGGGCAGCTGGATTGCTTCTCCCCACCTCCAGCCCCACAGTTATAATTTTATAGAAACAAAAAACAGGTGATAGGAGCCCGGCACGGTGGCGCACGCCTGTACCAGTGGTTGCAGAGGCTGAGGCACCAAGCAATTCAGTAAGCCCCTGTCTTTAAATAAAATACAAAACAGGGCTGGGGATGTGGCTCAGTGGTTGGGTGCCCCTGAATTCAATATCCCCCTCAAAAAAGGTGATAAACATTGAGGATTTAGTTGTCCTCCTGTGTTAGCACCTGCATGGTGGGGGTTTGCAGCTCTCCCAGCCTCCATTCTTAACTTGTGGAAGTCACTCCCAATTTCAGATGGGGGGTGGCTCCTAGTTTCAGTTTGTTTCAATCATTAGTTTTAAATTAGAGTTCCTTCTATTCATTTGCCATGATTTTAAACATATGTTGATTGGGACGGGGTGGGTACCACAGATTGAACCCAGGAAAACTTAACCAATGAGCCACATCCCCAGCCCCGTTTTAGATTTTATTTAGAGACAGGGTCTCCCTAAGTTGCTGAGGGCCTCACCAAGTTTCTGAGGCTGGCTTTGAACTTGCGACCCTCCTGCCTCAGCCTCCCGAGCTGCTGGGATTACAGGTGTGCACCACCACCCCCAGCTAAACATGTTATTTAAATGGTACTTGATTGCTGCCTCTTCTACCCCAGAGAATTTCAGAATAGGAGCCATAACAGCTTTGTTCACTTCTGTGCCCATAATAACAATCAGCAGCAGAAGCGACTAACACTGTTACACAGCATTTACTATGTGGAATGCTTTATGCTAAGCCCTTTACGTATAACTAATTTAATATATACACCCAGTGATCATTTGGCCCTCAGCTAGTGGTCAGGGTCGTTCAGCCCCTAAGTCTACGTCCACAAAGAAAACACCACTTCCTGAAATAGCCCATTACACTGTTAGATAACTCGGGTGCTTGGAAGAAGCTTTTTTGTATTGACCCCCCAAGCACGCCTCCTTGCAGTTTCCGCCCACCGATTCTATTTTCTACCCCTTCTGGGGCCACGCAATGTAAGTCTGCAGCGTCCTTCCCCAAGCTCTCTTTGCAGCACCCGAAGCCCAGTCCGCCCCTTCACATCTCTCCCGGCCCCCTGCCGGCAGAAATTCCTCCCCGCAGCAGTGGTCGCGAGCCCAACCCGGGGCCAGCCGCCGCTCCCGGCAGCCCCAGTCCCGCGCGTCACGTGACGCGGCGGCCCCGCACGAGCCGCCAGCAGCTGTCGGCCCCAGGCGGGGCTCGAGGGCGCCAGTCCGCCCGCCCCTGGCGCGCGCTGCAGTCCTCCGGCTGCGCTGCGGCTCGGCGGCGGGGGCTGCTTCCAGATCGGCGCGACCGCGGCCCGAGGACTCCTTGCGAGGTAAGCGGCGGCCGACGCGGGCCCAGGGTGACCCATTCCCAGATCTGGAACTGCCGGGGGAGGGCAGGGGTGCCTCGAGGCTGCCTCCCGGGAACAGCGGGCGGTTCACCGGGCGACCAGCGAAGCAGGCGCCGTTCGGTCCTTGCAGAGGCTGAGCGAGTGATGGGGCTTTGGAATGAGGGGCCTGGCTCCTGGTGAGGGGGTGCTCTAAAGCCACCTGGAACCTCTGCTGGAGGAGCTGTCTTGTTGTTCTCTTGTAAAACCACCCTGCTGGGAGCCAGTAACTCCGCGGTTGCCTCCAGCCATGGGGCTTTGCGAGTGTGTTAAGTCCAAGAGGAACCGTGCGACACGACTCGGGATGGAAAGAACCTGCACCTAGCAAGTCTGGGGCCGGGTACCCACTGGGTCTTCTGCGTTTTGTACTAGTGGAAAGTCTCTCTCTTTTAAGGAAGAGGGGTAACCCTTGCCCTGCCTCCTTCATGGGACTTGAGTGAAGAAGAGATGGGAAAGCCAGAACTCCGGAGGCGTTCAGCCCAGGGTTCAAGTCCTAATTCTTCTGCTTAGTAGCCGTGTGACCTTGGGCTAGAGTGAAACCTCATCTGTTAAAAGCAGAAAATAATAGTCCTTTCTCATAGGTTGCTGTGAGGATTAAATATAAAGGACTTAGCGTGGCGTTGGCCACAGAAAGCTCATTACATAGTGCTGTTAATATTAGCATTGTTGAAGTAGTAAGGTTTAGTAGAATAATCACACTTATATGTGGTCCTAATACAGTGCCATTTTGGTTTGTAGAATCCTTTCCCCTTCTGTCATTCTGGGCCCCCTTTGCCTTCTGTTTTACAATGGCATGTGAACCTGTTGTTCCTACCAAATGAGTCAGGCAGGATTGGAACATTAATTTACTTGAGCAGATGGGTATCAGATTCCCTTTGGGAGGGTGGGGGAGAGAAAAGTGCCAGGCATGTGCTGCCACCAAAAAAAGCACAGTACAGTGATTGACTGTCAGAACTGGAAGCTGCCTGGAGAACCATGTAATCCAGCTGTCTCCTTTCGCAAACAGAGAAACTGGACCTGGAATGAGGACAGGACTTTGATTTTGCTCAGGACTCAACAGAGTGTTGGCACTGGGTGGTGGAGAGGATGTACATCTTGCCAGGCACTGTGCTTTCCCTATGTTCTAACATAATTTTTGCTTTATTCTACAAATAGTTACAGAGTCCCTACTGTGTGTTTGTACACCCACCAGGAACCAGAGATAGAGTTGTGAATGAAACAAACATGGTCTCTGTCCCCTTGGGGCTTTTTCCATAACTAGCTATGTTAGTTTGAGGATATGTATGTTTTATAATAACATAAACATTATAAGCAATACGTTTTATAATAACAATAAGTTCCAGCTCCCAGTGAGCTTGCCTCATAGCAGCTGGCCCCAAGGGACAGCAGTATATAAGAGGCCTGAATTGTTTCATGATCCCTTGCTGTTCCACAGCCCTTGTGGAAGCCTGGTGAGATTTTAGAGACTGGAGAAAAAGCTGCTTTGTCAGAGCTTTTAGGAAAGGATTTCCTTCTGGTCTGGAACACTTGGACTTCTTTGTCTTTCTGGTTTCAGGCCTCTTATTGTTGTTAAATTTCTGAAAAGAGCAACCCTCACCATAATGCCTTCATTCTGGTTTCCATGGTTATCAGGGGAATTGTATTTTTATGATAGCACAAGTAGCTATTAAGCAATGCTTGGTCAAGTCCTCAACCAGTTCACCCAGGATTTGTCTTGGATTTTTGTTGCTTTTCAGTTGCAATTCAGACATATGCTCCTTTCTCCCTTTTTTTCCTCCTCCTTTTCTTCCTTTTTTTCATTCTTTTCTTCAACAAACATGCACTGGTGGCAGGGCCAAGAGAAGTGGGAATAAGAACAGATAAAAATAGAGAGAGACCCTGGCCTTGGGGACCTCATAATTGATGGAGGGAGAGTTGGGTAAACTGAGGACATTGCCACATCAAGAGGCAGATCAGCAGGTCTCTGATAAAAATGTACATGGAAGCCAGCAAGAGCTCTCTGAGGCAGGAGGGATAGTGGCCCAGGCAACCAAGAAGACATCACACGCTTTTCAAAGGAAATGTCAAAGAAACTAGTTCTTTTTTATGGGCCTCAGTCACACAGGAACAATAGATGGTACAACAAGCATTTTGTCTTTCAATTTGCCTTAATGAATGAACCTTCTCTTGAGTCACCTTCATGGGCTTTGTTTGAGATGCCTGTTCATTTCCCTCATTACCCTCTGTTAGCTTAATGATTAGTTTCCCACTCATCTGAAATGTTGGATATTGTATACATAAAGATAGGATAAAGAGAGACATTAAGATTTTTGTCTATTAATTTAAATGTTTAACCAGTGTGTCTCATTTCACAAGTTGGGTTCTAATGCAGTCACAGAGTTGTTGTCCCCCCCCCCCAAATAGTTTCCCAAGTCCTCTAATGCCCTCAGTCGTGAGAATTCCAAGCCCTCTGGAGGCTTATGCAGTCTATAGGGGTTAGTCTTAACCATCACTGTCCAGAGGAGAGAACAGTGTCTGACCGGCGTACCTACTTTGTTATTTCTGACACAGCTATATGGTGTCACTATTGAGGAGCTGTCCTGCCTGGTCCAAAGATGTGTGGATGTGGTCATTGCGGCTTGACACCCTTTTTGGTCCAGAACCCTGCCAGCATGGATTGGATTCCCAAGTTAGAGCGCCCCCCCCCCTGAAGTTTATGCTCACATTCTTAGCTATTTTCCCCAAAGCACTGAAAGGACTGAAGGACTGAAGTTGGGAGCCACCGTCCCTCCCATCTGAAATTGGGAACGGCATCCTCAAGCCATGGAGGCTGGGAGGGCTGCAACCTCCACATCCTGACAGGTGCCAAAGAACCCAAGATCTCCAGCTTCCTACCCCCACCCTGTCTAACCTAGGCCAACTAAATCCTCCAATGTATATCACCTGGGTTTTGTTTCTATAAATTGTAACTGCTTCTGTGAGACCTGCAAAGAAATAGTCTAGCTACTCCCTCTCCCTCAGTTCAACCAAATTGCATAAAATTCACTATTCATTTTTCTCTCTTCCATTTCTTTTGCAGGCGGGTGGCTGAATGTAGCCAACTGGGATGCAGGCAGTGTCTCTGGGCTAGGCTCTTGGCAACAGCACCATATGCTGGGCCTTGTGCTGTCACCAGGCTGGGTTTCCCTGGTTTCCTGGAGTCACCTGAGACCATCCAAGATATCCTATTTTCAAATCTTTTATCAGAGCTTAAGGGCTCAATAACTTTTTTTTTCTTTTCCTAAATTTAACCCAAGACCTTTTAGTAAATTAGTTCCACTTCTCTTCAGCATTTTAATTAACCAAGGATTCTCAGGAATGGCAGCCTTCAACAAGATGTCCACTCTAGGACTTTGGGTACCTACTCAATCTTACTTTTTCACATGTAGGAGGGACCCTCAGGTGACCCTTGACAACACACTTCTGTTCTCTGGAGACTGTCTCTGCCTACACTCCTAAGAGATTAGACAATGAAAATATACAGGACTGAAAATTTACTTGACATATATCTTAGAGGTTTGGGAGGCAAGTTTTTAATTTTTCAATGAAGGATTTTGGCCAGGGCCAGGGCAGTGGCACACACCTACAGTCTGAGCTACTTACGAGGATCCCTTGGGCCCAGGAGTTTTGAGACCAATCTGGGCAACATGGAAAAATCCATCGCCCCGCCTTGTCTCAAAAAGGAAAAAATAAAAAGCTGGTGATGTGATTGAAGAAAAAAGGAAGTCTTTTCAATAGTTCTCTGTTTTCTAAGAATCAAACAATGATCAATATATTCCGTTATCTTTATTATGAACTTTTTTTAGTATGAAAAATAACAAATATGCATACAGGAAAAAAAACCCACAAAGGTTTATAAGGGAAATACAGTGTAACCACCCCCACCTCAAGAACTGGACGTTGCCAGTACATACGAAGTCCTTCCTTCCAAATCATAACCTCCTCCCCTAGAAGAAACCACTATCTCCACTTTTATGGTAACCATCCCTTTGCTTTTCTAAATAGTTTACTTCTCCATATTTACATCCCTAAGCAGTGTAGTTTAGTTTTACTACTTTAACTTCATATATGTGGAAGCATACTGTTTGCATTTTGTTTGACTTCTTTCGCTCAGATTCTTGCTTGTGGCATCCATCCACGTGGCAGCCTGACTGACTTTCATTGCTGATAGTGTTTGATGGTATGAATAGGTCACAGTGTGTTTATTCATTTTATGATGGATGGACACGGATTGCTTACAGTCTCTGACTGCCAGGAATATCCATAGACATTTTCTGTGGTGTATGTGAATGAGCTTCTTTCACATACCTCGTGATTTCTCCTTTGAGCCATAGGTATCTAAGAAATGCTTTTCTTAATTTCCAAACTTATGAGTATCTTCTGGTTATCTTTGGTTAATTGATTGTGGTCAGTGAACTTGTTCTATATAATTTTAATTTTTTTTTGAAATCCTAGTTAAGGCTATATTTATGATTAGTTTTTTTTTTAATAAATGTTCCAGGTGTGGTTAAAAGTAATGTGCATCCTACAGTTATTGGATTCATTGTTCTATATAAAGCCATTGTTATCAAGTTTATCAGTCACATTCAGGCCTTTGTTCTTATTTTTTGCCTCTATGAGATTATAGAGTTGTGTTAAAATATCCAACCATGATTATGAATTTATTTCACCTTTTTTTTTTGCTTTATGCCTTTGAGCCCATATTATCAAGTGCATATAATTGTAAAATTGTTATATCTTCCCAGTGAGTTAACCTTTTATCCTTAGGAAGCTGCCCTTTTTTATCCCTAGTAGATTTTTCTTTTTTTTTTTGCCTTATATTCTATTTCATCTGATAGTAGAACTATGTCACCTTTTTAGTTGATCTGGATGAGTTATATTTTTACTGTTTTTTAGTTTCAACTTTTATGTATCCGTGTTTTAAGATT